ATAACTAATTAGTTGCAAGAAATTAACCACCGCTGTTTAGCACAAAAACACTTCCAAAAAGGATTTATTTTTGTTTGGGAAAATGACCTTAGGCGCTTGAGGAGGGGGGGCAGAAAGGAGAAATAATGATCTGGCTGTCTTTTAATATAACTTTTGTTTTCTATTCAACCTGACAACAAGCAGGCAGCATAACATGGTGCCTTATTCAGAAAGCTTAGACTTGGAGCAAGCACATTTTAATCTTGCCTGCCACACGAATCTCAAGGCTGACCTCATCCCATTGATTGAAACTGGTTTAAGATTCCACATACCATCCCTTAAGGCTATGTAAGAGAGGATACAAGAAATGAATTACTGAATGGGATGAAAGAAAGAATATAATATGACCAAAGAAAGCATATAACCAGTCTGTTCATGTCACTGGATCTCATTTATCTTGTGAAATGTGGATCATGCTTAACTGTCATATGAAGGTCTAGGATGTATCTTGCATAAGAGTTCAGTATTATTGTCACATGCTGTTTGCTGTTCATAGCATCACTAATGTAAGATATAGTGAAGGTAGGAATTAGAACTAACAGCAGTTAAAATACTTAGTGATTTGTCCCACTTTGGGGGCAAAAACTGCAAGGAAATTTGGGATAAATGGCTTCTGAGATCTAATTTCTTTCCAAAGGTATGAAAACACTTCCACAAGAGAATAAATAAGCTGACTTTATCATGTTTTTTTTCCCTTTGGAGCTTGCATTTCATTCAAACTACTTGAGAAAGACATATGTATACAAAAATTTGTGAACTATCAAATAGAAACTGAAATTATTGTGCTTGTACAAGTCAGTTCTGCTCTTTCAGTCTTTTCCTTCCTCTGTGCAGAGGCAGTGAATTTCTCAGGTATTTGGAGAGGGAGAAGTATCCTTCAGTAATGTAAGGGCCAAAGTGAGTTGAAGCTTATTGGTCTTTCTTGCTCTCCTCTTCTATATACCTATGCTTGCAAGATTAGAAAATTGTCTTCGGTATGTGTACCTGAGATGTAATTATACAGAAATGCTGGAAATTATTCAGTGTAAAAGGAGTCACTGTGCTACTGCTGTTATGCCAAACTCCTGCTGAATTTAAAAAAAAAAAAAAAAAAAAAAAAAAAAGGGTAGCACTACCACATTCCTATAATAGCTTTGTTGCTTTTTCCCTCTCCTGTTCTTCCAGTGCTTACTCTCAAACCAATATCTTAGATGGTGTATCTGAAAGTTAGGAACAGAATCTTATTAAGGTGTTTACAATTCTATTAGGTTGCCTACATAGTATAAGAGTTTTCTGAAAATATTTATATGAACCTATTTCTTGTTGCGTGTGTGGTTGTTCTTTTTTCCTCCTCCCTAGATGAGATTTGGATTTTATTGGCACGTGGTAAGACAGTAGAAACAGGAAGGTCATGGCTGAGTATTTCTGGGGGAGAAGGTCTGCATATGTGCTTACCAGGGAAGCTAAGTTCATGTGGAATAAAACAACAGAGCTGCCCTCTAAAAAGAGGACATAAGCAATGCCATCACATCCTCAGTCAAATGCATGACAGCGATTTCTTTTTGAGAAGTTACAGAGCAAACAATTTCAAGTTGGACAAGCTGCCCCCAAAACAGATCAGCAGAAACATAGGAGGCCAAGAGTTTGTGTGCGTTTGCACACATACAAGCTGCTTTGCTTCAGGATACTTATATGAGAGCTCACTGAGGGGGAAAAAAGAGGGTTAGAGAAAGCACTTTCACTAATAGTTGCTGTCTTGAACAGTTTCAAACTCTGATTTTTACTTCTGCTTGCTGTTCAGATTGGGATCTTGAAACTCATTTCCCTTTGGGTTCTCTCCTTCACGTCACGCACTCTGTGGCATCAGGTGTCCCTACGCAGTGAAAATATATTGTCCTTCATAGCCTTGTATAATCAAAAGAGGTGGAGAGTAAGTAGTCTAGAAAGAATTAAATATCTAGCAAATATGACAAAGGAAAACATTGAAACAGAGTTAAAACACGTAGGCAGCTATGCTTCCCTAGCATTCAAACTTCAGTTACTGGATGAAATCACAAAATGTGAAATCCATCATGAATGAAGGAAGCAACAGCAGAAAATGAGTCAGTACAGACTGAGTATGCCATGCCAATATCCTGGGGAATAAGCAGAAAAATAGTCCACCTCAAGCAACGTGGATTGTAACTGTAATGGTTGTTCCTATTCATTGCATTAGGAAACTTGTTTGTATTAGTTTTGGGTAACTAATTTCCTGTAGCTGTGTGTACACATGATTGAAAAGATGAAGAAAATGAGAAAGTGGGCTGGGTTGGTCACAAGTCTGAGAAATGTCACCTAGGTTGGGCCTATGCTGCCGGATTAGTTCCAGAAGTGCGTTTCAGGTGCTCGGTTACGACAGACAAATGGGAAGAATTTTGCTGCGTTGACTAAAAAATCTCAGTTGCGGACAGTGTGCTTCTGATGGACCATTCGGTACGGTCCAGTATGGTGTATTTATTTTTTTTACAAGCCTCTTCCCTTTAAGGACGTCAACCGATTTTAGTTTGTCATCCTTCATGGTTTCTCAAAGTGCAAGTCTGTAAACACATCCTTGTGTGTGCATAAATATATTACTGCCAAACTTTAGAGTGCAAGAGTAATCAGTGTATGCATCTCACCACTTAGTTCCATTTTGACATTTGGCAGTAAAACAAGGCTGCTTTTCTCAAATGATCAGCAGATTTCTACACAGACTTTGTGGGTGATTAGTTGTGGTTTCTGTAGTTCAAAATTCCTGAGTGTAGTGAAAGGCTATAAATGTGCTATCTTTACGGTTATGGACTTGCTAGAGCTTTATAATTCTGAAAGAAAATAGGGATAATTCTACTGATTTTTTAAAAATCCTGTACCTTGCAGATTATGCTGTCTTGGGAAAATTAAGAACTAACCATTTACGTTGCATTACGGCTTTCTTGTGCCTAAAAAATTTGATAAGTATTTTATAAAGGTTTTTTCACAGATGTGTAGTCAGAAGATGAACTATGCCCTTTGTCTGCATTCTTTTGGCTTTGGCATTCTGCCCAGTATTTAAACCCCACTCCCACCGTTTTCTGTGTATATACATATATATGTATTTTATATAGAGATGAAAGTAAGTTGGGGGCTTAGGTCCTGGTCGTTCTCATTCATTTTTTGTGCTCGTTTAGAGCCTGTGTATAACACTGATATTAACTATTCAATCAGCATCTTTGAAAAGAGGCTGCCAGGTTCCTGATGCAGAAAAGCTAAATGGTGCCAGGAATCATTCACTCTGTGCTAAATATTGCTGCTGGCTCCTCTCTCTGTCTCTCAGAATCTGTGGATGTCTAATTCTCTGCTCTTCACTGTAAAGATGGCAGGATTTAAAAAAGAAAAAAAAGCCATCTGAATTTGCTGTTATGTAACAAACATCTTGCCATCCTGCGTGGTTAAAGAGTTGAACTGGACTGAAATGGTATCAAGGTCTTATTTAATTTCCTTGGGTATTTTATACTGTATGTAACGTCTTCATGCTCACCTACCGTGGTACTCGACATTCAGTTCTTCCCTTGCCAAGACTTGTGTTTAGTGAATTTGGAAATTCTATTTTAAACAAGAAGTGTTTTGTTGCCAATCAAGTCTAAATAGCAACACCAAACTGCTTTGCACATGTAACACACCACCAACCAGCAGAATATCTATGAAGCCGTTCAGCTGCACCCTGCTTCTACCATAGAGATGATATCTATGCACAGTTGGCATACTGAAAACTGAAATGGTGGGATACTAAAAGCGAAGCTCAGAACAAGTAATGCTAATGTGCCAACAAATCTCTACAACCATGAATGTCTCTTTATTGCATTTCTGGTTTCTAGAAGATCTTTGGATCCTTAAAAGAAATATGGATAAATATGATTGTATAAAAAAAAGAATAAGTTTTCCAATCACACTTACAAGTAAGCAAATTATTTATAGTGGTCACTTAAAACCACCGTAAAAAGATGAGCATGATGAAACCTTATCAAGCTGCATTATATTCTTAAAATATATGCCGCAGCTAGCTTAAGTGCTAGCCCAGACTACCTAAATTAATCAACTGTCCTCAAAAGCCTTCTTCAGAGTTTATTTCACAAGGGAGTTGCCCGAAGGCCTTGGTTGCCAGAACATCTGTCAAATGAGTTTCCCAGTGCCTGGGTCAGATTGGTGCTGGCCTCCCTTGAGTACTCCTTGCACAGCTGGTTGCAGTCACCTGCAGCTTCCTGCCTGGCACTTCTCCTGCTGCAAGCAGCCAGGTATTGGAGCAAATGCCCAAGACAAGGGAGGCTGGTGGCTCAGTTACTGTGCTGTAGCTGGGCATACTCTTTGCCTCCAACTGAATATTCAATTGCTCTTTGCAAAGTGCTGAAACCAATGGAGAAAGCATTTGAGAGCATTCCTTGCACTGACATACCAAGTAGTGGATAGGGAGTAGATTTGTTTTCAAAATCTCATTGGTGCAGTTGGAATTTGAATTCAGGTCCTCCATGCCTTGGCTGTGAAAGCTATTTCTTCAAAGGAAAGCAGCAAAAACTGCTTATTCCTTTGCCAGTTGAGAGAAAAGTTAGTGAGTTCTTCCTAACAGTAGAAGGCAGCAACACTAAATCCAAGCCTTTGTGGCTGCAGTTCTATACCTCTTGACTCTCGTTTCCCTGGTGAATTTAGGAGCTCTTTCAAATCTGCTGGTTTCTGGCAGTCCTCTAATGTGCACAGTTCTCTATGCAATATATGTTGCTGCCTAGATATAAATCTCAATGGGTACGTGGCATATAGATGCTTGGAAGGTAATTGCGGTGTTTGGTAACTTTTGTAAATTCAGTCTTAGTTGCAGTAATATGTGTTCAGGACTTCATTTTGTCTTCTCTTTATAATGAAAAAGATGTAATGATTATGAGTTTGATTAAGCTGACTCATCTTATTCTTTGCTGGCTGTTCTGCTTTCCTCTTAGGCATAATTTGATGTTCCTTTATGCTGAAGTGACAGCTCCTGGTGATGCGTGACAGTACAGCCAAGAAATCTGTACATAGGATGCGTCTTCTCCTGCTGGATAGTTCTCCAGAAAGGGATTTAGCAGGTAAATCAGAATTTAAAAGTCTGTTTCCATTATTTAAAGAATTTAGCTTCATCTACAAATTCTAGGCACCTAATTTAGAAAAATAGATTAATGCAAGTGACTTCGCTGGCTGAAAATGTTAATATCTGAGTTTGAGGGTTTAAGAAGGGTTTTCGGTATGTAAATTAGCTTTTAGCTAAGCCACACCAAAAGCAAACTGGAGAAGTTAAAATGTTTTTTATATGGAACTTTTGGCTTTTATTTCTGCTTATCATTCTGCCAGCAAGTAGTTGGCCTGGATGAAGAGAGCATGCTGTCTTACAAGATCTTCATCCTAGTAAGAGTGATGGGAAACAGCTCTGGGATAAATTACTTGTTTTAAAATTATTAATATGGAGAATTACTAGTGTAGGACTGGTTTTCTCTTACACCTTGCTGATTTAGAAAGTTGAACCTTAAGTATTTTGCAGTTTTCGTCTACTCTGAGTATGTCAAATATAGTCTACCTTAAAAAGAGTTTTTCCTTTTTGCCAAAGAACTCCTAATAGACTTCAAAAGGAATTAACTGTGTTTTGAGCTTCCTTATCTTTGTTCATCTTCTTGAATATGTGGTAAATCTATTACTGAAATTTTATGCTAATATTTCTTGGTCTTGTTTGCTCCTTCATAAGGTCAGGTAATCAAAAACAGTCCACATCTCTCTTGATGCCCTTGGGGATTCTTGGAAAAACTGGTTAGAAAAAAGTGCAATGGTGTGATCTTGCTGACTCGTTTGATTTCTCATTCATTATATTGAGACAGTGAGGGTGAATAAATTCTGGGTTATGTAAAATAAGACAAACATGGAAACATGGAAAACATGCCTATTCTTGTGAGAGGTGTGCTGTGCAACAGCTTATGAGCTGCGGTTGGAGAGCTATTCTGAGCAAGATGGATGCTGCCTGTGCAGGCCTGGTAGGGCTACTGATTGCTGCGTTTCTTCATCCCTGCATCTTGTCCCATCACTGCAGCGCTGTTGTATGTTATCTCCCATGGAATTAGTGGGATTCCTATTCAGTAGGGGCATATAGGTTGGAAACAAAAGCACGCCTCCAGTTGTACTTCAATGATAAAACTCAAATACGTTGCAAATATGTAGTCCAAGATGATAAAATGTGTCTCTATTTCTTTTATATCAGATGTAGAAACTTGATCATGAAACTTGATAATGTTTTAACTGCTAGGGATGTGATTCAGAACGTGTGTTAAAATTTGCAGTTTAAAAAGTGATCTCTGGACAAACTGAGCAAATCAGTTCGTGCATTATGCTAATTCATTTATACACTAGATAGTATCTGTGGCAAATCATCTGATTATAAAAGTAATTATTAAATTTATATGGAAACTCTAATATGTTATCTTAAATTTCGTTCTCATTTGTTTAATTTTCATAACATAAAATCTACAACGGCATTTTAAAATCATGAGGGTGGTATCCCTGCTACAAGCTTCTCTACTGTCCCGTGAATTTGATTATTAGAAGTGAAAAGCATAGAGTGGACTTCTTGTTTGTATTTCATTGTCCCATTCAGTTCCATCACATGCAAGAATATAGCTGCTTGATACTTGAAAAGAAGCAATTAAAATAGGTATGGCTGGAGTTTTGAATATATGAGGGCTGCTCTGAAAGTGATGCCTCCTATCTTACTATGTTGGCCCATTATGTTGACAGCAGAGGTGGATGGTGATGGTAGTAAAGGAGAGGTTGAACCTTCCCATCAGTTATTCAGTTGCATTTTGTTGCTGTGTGACAGACAGTAGCAGAGGGGCAGTCTGACAAAGGCATCTGACATAGAAGCGCATATGAAACTAAGGTGTTATTGAATTCCTACACGTGGGAAAAATTGCCTTCATTTACATTCATCAATGATTACTGAATGCTTATGAGACAAAGCAGTGGATGTGAGCACAGTGAGGCCCTGGGTGGTGTGTTTCAACAGTGGCAACAGCAGTGTGAAAGACAAGCCATGTTCTGGATGATCGTGCACAGCTGTCACACCATGAAATGAAGAACATCTCGATCAGTTCATCTGGGCGAATTGGTGGATTAGGAGTGGGGGTCTGGGTATTGAGCTGAATATGAGCTTCAGTGTATTGGAAACGATGGTGACAATGTTGAAATATTGGAACATTTGTGCCAGATGGGCTCCACGAATGTTCACACAACAGCAGAAAGAACACTATGCAAAATTTTCAGGACCTGTTGAACCAAAGTGAGGCTGAAGATGACAGTTTTCTGGGTCACACCATTACCAGTGATGAGACTTGACATTAACTCTATGAGCCGAGGTCAAAATGGCAGTCCATGAAGTGGACACTGAAATTTCCCATTGAAGAAAATATGCAAGACATTATAAGCCCTCAGTGGGAAAATTGATGTGCCTGCCTCCTGGGATAGGAAAGGGATGGTCATTCTGCATTTTCTGTAACCTGGCTAAACCATCAGTGCTGACTGCTACATCATAATGAGGGCTTGAACTTCCTGAGTCAGGCTGGAGAAGAAGACAACCTTCTTCTTGCAATTCAATCCCACCAGGCCCTGTACCAGTTTGAAGACAGTGGAGCAATGGAGAGCATTGTCAATCTTGGCTGCACTGTCCTACCACATCCACAGTGCAGTCTGAATGGATTTGTCACCTCCTGAATTCTGTCTGTTCAGGCCAGTGGAAGATGGGCTGTGTGGGTGTTTTCCTAGCAATAATGTCATAGCAGCTGTGGGATACTTCTGCTGGTGCCAATTTTTACAACTGAAGCAGTCAGGCTCTTATTCATCACTGGCAAAAATGCAAAGCTAATGGTGGAGACTGTTAAAAAATGGTATTTAGTAGCTGAGACTTTGCTCTATTGGATAGTTACTATGCTCTTTGTATCTGCTGTATTTTCCATAGACTTAAGTAGGAGGCATTACTTTTAGAATGAACTGTGTATGTAGTCTAACTTAAACGTCTTGCTAGTTTGTAAGAAGGAATACAGAGGGTGCAGATCATTTTCATTTGGTTTTGTTTTGTATTTAAATGCAGTCTTCTCCCTGTTTTTGTGCCACAGTTGTGAATGAGTTTCTGCAGACAATGAAAACAGGACACATCAGTAAGATAGAAAATGGACCAGATATTAGAGAGGATACAGGAGAAAATATTCTAGTATTCATTCAGTAACCTTTCTCTTCTTACACATGAAATGTAAATTACGGGAATGTAGTGGTCAAGTATGAATTGAATGTGTCATGTAATACCATGGCTTTCACAGCAGGTCAGATGTCTGAAGAGAATACCTTGTATTTTTACCATTAGTTGAATGGTAAATCCCTTTTGAACTAAAGGAGCTGAACGCCAAGCGAGAGATCTCTCCACTCTTGACAGTTTTTAAGATTTGGCTATACGAGATACCAGCACAAGACGATATCAGATTTTGCACTGGTTTAGGCAGGACACTGGACTAGCGGATAGGCTGGGGTCCTTTCCAATCTCAATTCAGGAATGTCTAATCTCAGCCATGCTGAGTATGCTGCTGTACGGCTTCATGGAACTTAGTCAGAAGCACTTGTCAGTAAAAATATTTCAGACAGTCCAAGACTTTAAAAAGTAGATCTACTTCTGCGTTTTTCTGTCAGCTGTTCAAGAGCTTTTGTTTAAGGAAAAAAAAAAATGTGAGCTGACATCTTCACATGTCTGCATAACTTTTTGCAGCACCTGTAAAGCGTTTCATTTTGAGAAGGGCTTGGGGAGTTTTATTTTGCTTTTATATTCTTTGTGCAATTGTAATCTTTGGATGAAGTTTAAAACGGAGTGCAAAGGAAGAATAGAAAACATAAAATTGTAGGGGAAAGATAGTAGAATAAAACTAACGAGGTCAGTTGTAAAGCATCAAATACTGCTTTCCTTTGTAATGGAATGATTTCCAAACTGTGAGGGGGGGAAGTATGCTGCTCCCCATGGGAAAAAATGTAAAAGCTCAACAGATCTGTGGAATATATTCAGTTACTGTAGGTAATATTGGTAAGTTGGCTACATGCTCAAAAACCTGAATGGATTCCTGATACTTAGCCCCTTTGAGTTGAAACTATACATTCAATAAGCAAAAAATCATTTGCATAACGATTTCTAATGATTAAGGCATTAGAAATATGTTAATAAAAATATTGTTCAGCTGATTTTAATAACCTTTTTTTATTTCTTAGTGTAAATACTTCAAAACACAACTTTGAGTTTTGAATGTTTGAACTGATGAATAGCACATATGTGGAATGGCAGAAAATAGGAAACATTATGAAATCTAGAAATTTCATAAATAATCTCTTCCATGTTGAATGGAGCTGGCTGTTTTGAAGGCTACCAGCAGGAGACCCCCGGCCATCCCCAAATATATATACATATATACATATACATATACATATATATATATATACATATATATATATATATATATATATATATATATGTTTTGTGACATTGAAACTGCTTTCTTTTAGCTTTTGAGAAGAGAAACCTCTAAACATAGGGCCAAAGCTGGATTCGGTATGTAGTTCTGTTAATGACTTCATATGAGCTATTTTACCTTTTCAGGATGGTTTAGGTAAAGCTCAAATTCTGTCACAGAACAGTTTAGAAATGAAATACTTGTGTTAAAGCTGCTTTCAAAATGCTCTTTCACAACACTATTTGTTGCAGCAAATAACTACACGTGTGCAGGTCAGTACTTGCCTCTAGGAAATAGTGTTCTAGTAGATCTGGAATATAGATTGAAACCACACACTAAAAATACTTGATCAGGCATTTAGTTTAGAAGTTAGTGTAGTGTGCTTCAATTAAGCTGACTCCCTAAAAATACCCTAGATATGCAGTTTAAATGCTCTACAAATGGTTTTTCATCTAGCCTGGAATTGTTTGCATCTCTAAAAACTTCATGAGTGTAAATGGGAGTTTAGATTATGTGATGAACAAAGTATTGCAGTTGTCTGAGTACAAAATTTCTGTGGAGTCTAA